GTTACGAAGGTAGGTCAATTACCAAAGAAGAAAGAAAAAAAAAGAAAAACATTTATTAATTCAAACTTTTAATTAAACCACTATAATTAGTTTCGTTCTATTAAGAATGAAATGGGCACTACACACCACAACACACACACACAACACAACCCACCACACACAAACACACACCACGACTCCCTCCAACTTTTCTTCTCTCAAGATTCTGTGTTGGAAAAACAAACACACACAGTCTAGCATGTTGAAAAAACAAACCATACCCTTTCATCTGTCACGCACAAAACAACACACTCAAGCTGCTACAACACACCCTCATCACGCCCCCAATCACACCCCTCATCACGCCCCAACAAACACATCAAGCACGCACCAACACACACTCAGCACCGCTTACAAACACAACACTCAGCCGCACCAACACAGACACTCTAAAGCAACGCACTAAATCACACCCTTCAAGCACGCACAAACACCACAACCCTCAGCACGCACACACCACCCTCAAGGCACGCACAAACCACACACTCAACACGCACCAACACACCACTCCAAGCCACACACAAACACAACACTCACACAAGCGGCACCAAACACACACTCAAGCACGCACAAACACACACTCAAGCACGCACCAACACACACTCAAGCACGCACAACACACACCATCAGCACGCACAAACACACACTCAAGCACGCACAAACACACACTCAAGCACGCACAAACACACACTCAAGCACGCACAACAACACACTCAAGCACGCACAAACACACACTCAAGCACGCACAAACACACACTCAAGCACGCACAAACACACACTCAAGCACGCACAAACACACACTCAAGCACGCACGCACACAAACACAAAGCACGCACAAACACACACTCAAGCACGCACAAACACACACTCAAGCACGCACAAACACACCCTCAAGCACGTAGAAACACTCACTCAGGCACACAGAAACTCTCAGTCAAGCAAACATAAACACACACATTCAATTGCACAGAAACATACACTCAAGTGCGCCGAAACACACACTCAAGCACGAAGAAACACATGCATGTAGAAGCATACAAAACACACACAACAGCACAATACGCATCAATGCAGAAACATTCCCCCCTACACACACACACACACACACACACACACACACACACACACACACACACACACACACACCACACACACACACACACACACACACACACACACACACACACCACACACACACACACACACACACACACACACACTCTCTCTCTCTCTCTCTCTAACGCAAACACGCAGAACACATTCATGTACTCACAGAAACACACACTCTCACACACACAAACACATTCATGCGCTCATAGAAACAGACACTCACGCACACACAGAAACACATATTACACGCAGAAACACAAAAAGTAAGCAAATTTATATGACAATAAATTATATTTAGAATGAGAAAAAGAAAAAAAATTACTGATGAAACAATAAAATACACAAAATGGAATCATATTTAAATTTTACATCTACCATCTATGACCCCCTTCTCTCTGAGCTGTGTGACTGTAGCGTCCCCAACGATCCTGCAGTCCACGCTCCTCCTTGGCCTGCTCCCAACGTTCTTTCATGCGGTACAGTTCACGATTAACCTCCTGTCGTATTAGGAAGTGGTAAAAAAATAAACATTATATTGATTGTAGTATTAAGAGGAGATTAAAAGATTGATGATATTAATAATAGCTACAATAATAGTAATAATTAATAATAATAACAATAATGATTATAATGTACTGAGATGTAAATCAATCTGGGCAACAAAACAAAAAACGGCTACAATAGTCATCACCAACAATATAATACTACATAAATTATATTTACGCTTCCATTTAAAAACATAAGTCTGTTTGAGGTTTTTGCTCAAACAACTAAATGTGGTAAGAACAGATGACTCAATGAAGATATGTGTATTCTATATTGCTAACAAGTCCCTAATGTTGGAATTTACTGAGGTAAAGGAACTGATATACTGCAGCAAACCCAACAACCCGATAGGCTTCCTTAATCTAAGGAAAAAATAAAAAGGTTCTATTCAGTCTAGTAGTGATATAATATATTGGGAAGGTCATGGATCTTTAACCCTACCATGACTGGTCCAGAATTTTCTGTGATCTAACCATTACACAACATGATGGGTATAGGCACTTATTGTACAATATCATACTTAACCTGATTAGAGGAAATAACTACAAGTATTTAAATTACCTATATCAGTTTAATACTTTTTACATCTCCTACTTAATTAGAATAGGAAATTATCCTTGGCAACAAAGCAATTATTCTCTACTTGTTAAACAGAAATGTTACTTACCTCACCAGACTTCTCCAAGATTTCAATGAGCTTGCCAGCATTTTTCCAGTCTTTCCAGGTGATGAAAGTACAAGCATGTCCTTGGCGGCCAGCCCTCCCTGTTCGTCCAATGCGATGCACATACTCCTCCATGTCACGTGGGCAGTCAAAATTCAGGATGTAACTAGTAATTAATAGACAAACTTAAGCTAATAATTGATTCAACTTATAAATATTAATAAAAATAACTAGCCTATGAAATTAAAGAGCAGGCATGTGCAGCCAGCCCTCCCTATTTTGCCATCTTACATGGGCAGTCAAAATTCAGAATGTCAATCAATCAAAAGACAAGATTTACCATATAATTGATTCAGTACACAAATATTGATGACATACAGGTAGTCTTGGAAATAAAAATGCAGGCATGTCCTTGCAGCCAGCCCTTCCCATGCTTTCATGTTACATAATCAGAATTCAGGATGTATCTATTTATTAAAAGACAAATTACCTCATAACTGATTCACAATGTGAATACCAATGAAAAATAGCTGAACTCTTAATTGATTCAACACAAATATTGATGAAAACCTAGTCCAGGAAATCAAGAGACAGATCAAAAGGTACATACGTAATATCAATAACATCAATTCCACGAGCTGCAACATCTGTTGCAAGGAGGACTCTTACTCTGCCACTCTTCAAATCACTTAGGGCTTTCTCTCTCTCTTCTTGTTCTCTATCTCCATGCATGCTTTGTACCTGGAAAAAGTTAATGTATTTATAAACAAATTTTAGGGGAAATCAACTGCCAAAAGCCACCAGAAATCACATAAAAAACAATGAAATGAAAGCAGATACCACTATTAACTGTTAACTGTTGATAACTGGATCATAAAAATAAAAAATGGGTGTTCATTTAATTGTTCTATTAGATGAATATACATAATTTCAACTTGTTCTAACTGAAACGTGTTTCTATATGAATGGTGTTTGCTATTTAATACCAGCAATATGAATAAATTAGTGAAAATGCTTACATGTTTTCCTTCTTCCATCATCTCCACAGACAGAAAATCCACCATGCTCTTCCTGCCTATAAACACTATGGCTTTATCTTCTTCGCCAAGTCTGTTAATGAAGTCCAGCAACTGGAAAGCAAATTTAGCACATTTACAAATAACAAAGAAAAACAATGGAGGCAGAGAAATAATATGACATGTATCTAAATGGTGGGCAAAAATCCAAGGTATTTAGCCCAAACAGTATTACTCAATACTCAATCAAAATTTAGCATAACAATAGTGGTCTCCACAGAGCAAGATCTATGGAAAATGACAAATTATTTGTGACCTTTTGATAGAATATCCGATGCTGAACTTACGAATAACAGATCTCAATGAAGCTATACCAAAAATTTGTTTACATCCCCACACACCTACCATCTTATCCTCCTGATTCCTAAGCTCTATTCATCTATTTCATCCCTAATCTAGCACAAGATGTAACAAACCTTATCCTACACTGTACTCACTGTGTTGTCCCTCAACTACCTATTAACTGGTTGTCCATCCTTGCCCGTACCCATCAAAATCTTTTGTTTACTTTTACTGAACTTTCAAACCTCAGGATCAGAAAAATACCTTGAGAACATAAAATATTTCTCTTCAAACAACAAAAATTGCCTTTGGTGGAAGCTAAAATGTTACTGGATATGTCAGCTGGAAGGCTTCTATGTTAAAAGCACTGTTAAGATCATTTCTTCCACTTAAAATCACTAACTTTATCCTATTATTCAAGTAACCTGGCACAACAGAATGATACTGTTTCCTGAAAACACTGCATACACTGATTTGAATATCACTCAGTACAAATAGAAAATTCTCTAAGGTGGGGTGGGGATGTCATTTGGAGTTAGTTAGCTTACGTTTTTCACACAAAAGTGCAAATTATGATGACAAATTTTGGTTTGGTCTCATTCCAGCAGTAAGTACCATCTGCCATATTCAAATTTAATTTGATTTGAAATCAACTATTTCCATTGTAAAGAGCAATTCAACAAAGATCATGCAGGTGGATATTTTAGTTTTGGAAAAATAATCAAGATTTTTGTAAATGACACATGCTCTAACCTTTTTTTTCTTTCTTTCTTTCTTTTGCCGATTTTGATGAAACGTACACCTTTTACTCAGACCTTAGTGAGATCCCTGACATAAATTTTGATCGAAATCACCTGAATAGTCTTTAAAGCATAGTAAAAAAAATATAACATAATCCTCTATCATTTAGCTGCATTCCAAAATCACATAGTTGTGGAAATTCCCAGCACGTAACAGTATCTCAACAAGTGACTTAAGTTATCATAGAGTCACGTAAATATTTTATGTAAACAACTTTTAGAACACCATAAAAAGTTTTTAGAAAGTTTAAAACTCTGTTGAAAATGCTATTTAAAATCAGTAATGTTAGTAAAACAAATACCACATCAGCAAAATTTTAATCTGCACTGTTTCTGGGAATCTTCTGTATGTGATAGTTCAATCCTATATCAATCTCCTGCAACTGCATGATAGTATCTTTAAACATACCTTATCTCTCTTTTCTTCCTCTTTACAGATTATTACTTGCTGTGATACTGTACTTGCAGCCTGCAAGTCTAGGCTTCCCACGATAACATGAATAGGATCTTTCAGGAGCTTAGCAGCCAAGCTGCGAACACCTTCAGGCCAAGTTGCACTGAAAAATATATTATTACTCATACAACATGTACAAAATGTTATAAAACATCATATAAATTTGTCATATATGGGACTCGAGAACTGCACTTTTCTCACTGGTAGTATTCACACTATTTATCCTCTTCAGGACTATTATTACTCCTTTATCATCAGTCATCTTGATAAAAAACTTACCATCCAAACTGGTATATCACATTTCATATGTAAGCAATAAGAGCCAAGTCTTAAAGATATATACCATGGTATATAAATGTCATCCTATTTTTTGATGCAAAGACTTGCCAACACATCGGCCAATATACAGCTACTAAGGATTCGATTAGTAGGCCCTAGTGACTGTGCCTGAATTCTCCATTCCTTAAATACTGTTACTACTATTATTGGCATTATGATTATTATAATGTTATTCAAATACAATAATCAAAAAGAATCTTTCTGGAAATCAATTGAAATAGGCAGGACTAATAACTGACTCGGTGAGTATGCACATGTGGAGTCATCACTGTATAAATACAAATCATAAACTAAAATTATAATGGACATAGTATGCATCTACACAGCCACTGGGTAAACACTGAATGAAGAATTCATCTAAACCATGGGGCTTTCTGGTACTGATAACAGAATGCTGTGGCTACCCTTTATATTCACTTAAAAAACAAACATCATCCCAGAGAGTGTGCGCAACCTGGTCTGATTTATGAGGACTGTACCCGGGAGTTTGCTATGACTATCTCTGATCAATTAAGTGACTGACTGCAGGTTTTTCCAATAATTTCTAAGCCATGCATCTAAACAAAGCTCAGGATTTTAATTTTGGAGAATGGTGCACTCTAGGCAGTTTGATGTCAGTTTCCCATTTTGTTGGAAAATAAATGACGTTTAGAAAAAAAATCACATAGCTGAGACTTGGATAGTAAATAAGGATAAGGATAAGTCCTAAATGTGAAGCTGAGCCTCACCCGGTATATGAGGTGAGCCCGGCCTTTACCGACTGTCAACTCGATCAACGTGTCAGCTAGTGCTGATGCGACAGAGCTTAGTTCTTACCCTCCATGGTGCCCAGCCACAGCATTAACTTCCAAGCACCAATTGTAACTTCTCGCACCTAGGCAGGGCGTGAATCACCGACCACTCGGATGAGAGGCTGACAAGTTACCACCGTACTAGCCCAGAGGCTAGATAGTAAGTATTTGGAAGATATCAGCAATGTGATAATGTAATAAAATAATTTGTTGCTCTTTATATTAGCTATTTATGGTAAACATATACTTAAGAACCAACGTAACATTGTTTGATTGGAAATGAAAAAGAGGACTTATATATCTCTTGTTTTTTCAGAAATGATATACATGGCTGGACAATCAGTAATTATTTCATTTTACACATGTTGCACCATATTCTATAAACTTGTGTGAGTTTGTTTTTCTTGGAATTTCATGTGGGAAAAAAAAAGGGAGTAAAGCACATGCATGAATTTCTATGTAAAAAAAAAATAATAATAATATTGACAATATAGACAAGGTGAGAATCTTCAACTTCACTATTTCACTTCGTTGTGATAATCCTCGAAGCACCCAAACACTAAGGGGCAGTTTACATACATGGCAATGGGCCTTGGTAATTTTCCTTTTTCCGTGGGTGTAGCACACATGGCAACACTTATATTTCTTGCCCTTTATTTTTCGTATTACATGAGGGTTCCTGTCCTGAAGTCTTAGAGCCACATTTGTCACTGCTGGGCATCCTCACCCATCATACTTCGGTGGTTGAGGCAGACATTCAAGTAGGAGGCCTCTTACAACTTCTCTAAATATGAGCTGCTGCCTAATGTTCCATCCCACTAACTTGAAGAGCAATAGGGCATTTGTCATGGCCATATTGAAGGGGTACATGAAAACCTTCTTGTACCATTTGAGGCTTCTTCTTACTGCTGGGTAATAAGAAGCCAGCAAGTCGACTACATCGGCTCCCTTTATGTCTTCTTTATAATCAATCACAGCTTGTGGTTTAAGGACGAACTCCCTGTCGAGATTCTCCCTTTCGGTCTGCACCATCACTGATCTGTGAAGAGTTGATAGAATATGGATAGCTTTTTTATACATTAACTTTATGCATAGCATTCCAGTGGCCATACTCCGCTTTTCCATACAATTCAGCTTCAACTTTTGAGAGAAGTCGCATAGCATCCCCTTCCTGTTAGAATTTACTGTCCTGCAAGCACTAGTCTTTTAACCCTGGAAGTGTTCGGGAGGTGTACTAGTTGTCAATGTACAAAGTACACACCTTGTCTAGTACATACACCTCCTCTATCAGGTCAGCAACAGGATTGTGTGGCGCTGGTACTTCACCTTTATCTTGCCCTATGTAAAATCTGAATGCCTATGTGTAAACTCAGGAGGGGCCTCTTGAAACACTAAGTTTGTAGATTTTTAGGCCAAACCTTGCTCTCTTTGTTGGGTTATATATCACAAACTTCAGTCTACCCCTAATTTTCCAAAGGCTCATGTACACCATGATACACAGTGGGGGAACATATACCTCCCTGAATTGTTTTTGCAGTAGCTTGATAATACGTCCGAGCTTCCAAAGCTCTGGGCATTGTCATCGGCAAAGGGAAGGCATGTCTAGATCTGGTCTTAACAATCTCAAAGTATATAGGGAAGATTAGGGCCTCATGGACATCGGCTTTTGACCAGTGCTGTGTCTGGCCGGGCTTTGGGGAGATACCATCATAAGATAAAGGGATATCCATTCTTAAAACTCAGGGCGTGTCAGGGGCATCCACCTTCGCTCGTGCCCTTTCATGAAATCCAGATAAGCATCACGTACCTGTAATTGATAATACACATTTATTAGAATGTTATAGTATGACACTGTATTCAGAGCATGTTGAATTTGTATATCATTTTCAAAATAAATGGGAAGGAAACTTACTTATTAATTATTTCCATGATGATGTCTAGAATTTCCCCGTTGAAAAAATACCAAGATTTATATTCAATCCAGGTTTCATCTTGAAACCATATTTCCTAAGCACACTTTCCTTGTTGCACCACTTAAACTTAGGGGTCCCTGGTGCACTGTAGGCATGCATATGGTTTACATGCTCCAACAGTGGAACATCAGAGTTAATGCTGAAGTTATGTAGCTGTACATAATCATCATCAGTATATCAGAAGAAGAATCACAGGATGGCAAACTCTGGTTCTCTGATCTGCTCAACAGAACTCTTAGCATTGGCTCAGGGAGATAGTTTTCGACTTCATCTACACCCTCCTCATCAGAGCACTCAAAGAAAAATTGCCTGGAAGTGCCTGGTACGGGATCTATGGTTACATGTCTACCTAATTGAGATCTGGGTCTTTTATACAGAATTTTAGCCACGTGACATGACTTTCCGACCAATCAGGTAAGATAGTATGTTATATCAAAACAGAAGACATGGTGATCGAATATGACGTCACAACACTGTGTGGCGAATTTGAGGGAAGAGAGAGAGAGGATGGAAGGGAGAGGGGGAGAATGGAGGGCAGTGGGGGAGAGGGAGAGAGGAAGGGGAGAAAGGTAGGAGAGAGAGAGAGAGAGAGACAAAGGTAGGGGAGAGAGAGAGAGAGAGAGAGAGAGAGAGAGAGAGAGAGAGAGAGAGAGAGAGAGAGAGAGAGAGAGAGAGAGAGAGAGAGAGAGTGAGAGAGAGAGAGTGA